AAAAGATAGCCATGTTAAGCTGTTGAAGCAAAACTGACAAAAACAGTCTTGTGGCCTCCCAACATTGTCTGGGAGGCCGTAGGAGTCCCGAGAGTCCCATTTTGTGTCCACTTTGTGTCCCAGCCTCCTCCTCTCCTGACTGCTGAATTGAGATGACTGAATTGGCTGTCTAGAGGCAATACATAATGCAATGTCCAGCAGCAGTGGAGTTTGCCATCTCTTTGCCTCACTCCTGCCACTGAATGCCCATAAACCTCTGAGTTTGGAGGGTTACCTGCATTTGCCAGAGGAGTGATAGGATTGCCAAATGATCTTATGATATTTTAAAGGCTAACAAATGTACCCTGGTAAAAGTTTCAGTAAGCAAAGGGTGAAGTAGTCAGAAAGAGTTGGCCAACTTGTTTCTGGCCCAGTTTACAGTACAATAAAGTTGTTGCTCTTCGAGGAAGCACATTTTCTCTTGTGCTTCATAATTTTAAAAGAAACATTTTATGGAACTCTTTCAACAGAATTCTGCAATAGTGGTGGCAATAGTAAAGCAATCAGATAAATACATCATCAGACAAATATTTGCCCAACAGCTATAAGAATAGACCAAACTTGTAAAAAAAAATATAGGACCTTAGACAATTGTGGTGTGGCCACACTTAGAGTACTGTGCACTGGTCCAGTTGTGAAGCCTGTGAAGTTATTCTAGCTCTGGAAAATTTGTAGAAAAGGATACCCAAAAGGATCAAGGAGCTGCAGCAGGTCCTCTGTGGAGAAAGATGGCAATACTTGGTTCTTGTTTTGCTTTTTAGAATTGAAAAAGGGAAAGTAAGTGGGGCATGGTAGAATTTTATGAAATTATTCATAGTGTGGTAAAAATGGGTAGAAGTTTTTCTCTCATACTCATACTTAGAATCCATGAAGTGGAATGGTGGGAAATTCAGGGCAAACTAAAGGAAATACTGCTTTACACAGTGCATAGTTAAACAATAGAATTCATTACTCAAAGATGGACGCAAACTTAGGTTGCTTAAAGACGGAATTAGCCAAGTTCATTGAGGAGATGGCTATCAATATGGCCATCAATATAGTATATAGTTATGTTGCCCATATAAGCAGTTGCCAAGAAGCATGCATGGGAAACAGTAGTGCTTCCAAGGCTGATAAGTTCCCTGGAATGTCCTTTGGGAGTTTTATTGCATTTGGTGTCCTGGGGTGCTTCCAGACGAGCTTTTATTGTACAAGTGCCCTTCCTCATTAACATCCTTTCGTGGGGGGAATGAGATGACATCATCTTCCCCTTGTAAACTTCCTGTGTTTCCCCACTGCTCATTCCCACTTTTTCTTTACAAACATGTGAATTCATATAAGAAGGGGAAGATGGTATAGTTACATGTGTGATGCTATTTGACCGAAAGTGCTAGAAACCCTCTGTGTGGAACATCTCTGGGCTTGAATGAATTAAGTTTTGAAGGGCCAGCAGAACGTAGATGTTTAGGATTTCAAAGAAATCCAGAATGGCCAGTGTCAGAAATACTGAGAGCTGTAGTCCAGAGCATCTAGTGGGCACCAGGTTGGGCAAGGCTGTTATAAAGGCTGATGTGACGTGGCCTCGTTTGAGGTCCAGGCTTTTCCCCACTTACTATCACCAGAGAATGCAGATAGGACATATGCAGCAGAATGTGATTCACGTTTATGCAGAAGAAAGCTCCACTGTGTTCAATGGAATTTGTACTCAGAGAAGTGCACAGAATTGTATGTAAGAGGATGGTGCCACCATCTGTTTACTTAACCCTTGTCCAACCCATGGGTAATAAAGTCTTACTATATAAAACTGTGCTCTAGAGAAGGGAAGATTCCATCCTCTAAAGCAAAGGAAATTGGTTCCCTTCTATGTCAAAACAAACAACCCGTGGGTTTGAAGGACCACAGTTCAACATTTGTGATGATTTGAACAGTCCTAAATAGCCTGGATTCGGCATACGTAGAAAAGAGCTTTTGTACATGTGAACCATTTGTTCAGAGACCTCTGGCTTTTGGCTCTATCTAATAGAATGGAGTGTCACAATAGAAAATTCCCAATGTCCAAATTTTCCCTTTGGAGGCAGATCTTGAAGTCCATTGAGTCACAAACCTATATTCATCTGGGAAGCCGCCCCGAGGCTGTTGTAAGCCGCCCCGAGGCTTCGGCGAATGGGGCGGCATAAAAATGTTTTAATAAAATAAATAAATAATAAATAAATAAACTCAGTGATTCTTACTTTTGAGTAGATATATACAGTGATGCATGGCCAATGACTGAGTCTACGCAGCATGGCAACCCATTGGGAATAGCTGGCTCTGGTGGGTTGCCTTGCCCTCTGAACCCCTATTTTGGGAGAACACATTCCATGGCTTATTCTAGGAGTTGTTGAACCCAGGATGGTTGTCATGCCATCTGAATCCAGGAGGCTGAGCCTATCATGGGTGTCAAGCAGATTGCTAAATAAGAATGACAAAGACGCTTTGCTACACTTGCTGAGCTCGCCTGTGCGGCTGCCAGTGCCACCCATTCCACTGATGTCTGTATGGTCCTTAGAGTGACTGCAACTGGCTCAGTGCCCTTTCAAAAAATGGGTTGCACAAATATGCTTCACAGGTATCTGGCTAGAACTTTCCCAAAGGTGGAGCCTTTCCTGGCTACTGTCCTGGTAACTCTCTGCTGTCAAAATGCAGTAGGTAGTATTAATGAACTTTGACTAAGCTAGGCTGCATATAGGTTACCTTCGGGGTGATGCTGGAGCATCTGTCACTGAATGTGACACTGGGCTCCAAATTAAAATATACACAAATATGAAGGAATTATGATTAGAAAAGGGATGGAGAGAGGAAAATGGATGCTGCCATCCAGGACCCTGGGATGCTGATTGGAGAAGGATGACAAGAACAATCCATACTAAGCTGATTGTTAGGCACATGGTGGTTGTGTAGTGTGAACTTGCTCATACTGTGTAGAATGGGCTGCAATCCTGAATTCAACTCTTCAGACCAAAGTTTCCCACTTTGTAGATAATAGCATTTTCAGGGGAAGGAGTTGATGTGAAATGGGCCTGTACAACCTTCACCCGCTGTCTCATGTTTATGGGCTCTGTTTGAGAGAAAAAGAGCTCCCCATATGGAGTCCTCAGAACATATCTAGTTTGACTCTGCAAACAGACTTTGGAGGGAGCTGAAATTGTTTTGATATTTTGTTCAGGCATTGTTGTTTCGGTGTATTGCTAAAGGATACAGCAACAAAAAACAATTATTGCTAACCTATGGTATATGGACTCTTGTTTCTGGCCTGCTCCTGCTGTTTATATTGTTGTTTGGGTTTGGAGTTTACTACTTTGCTTACAATTTACTGTATTTTATGTTTTATAAAAAAGAGCAGTTTATTAATAAATGAAGCTTCTTTTTTCCAGTTCTTTACCCTTGCTTTGGTTTGTAGGGTAAACCTGTGTGGTTGTTTTTAAGCAAAGAAAATGTTGGCTGATCCACTCATGGATATCCAACACTGCCTCTAGTTAGGTGCTAGGGAAAACACTTCATTCATGGGTAACAGCAATTTCTTTGGCAAAGACAAAGCCCTTCCTAGGCAACCTGCTAACTCAGGTTGCCCACCTTAGCAGCTCAGACTTTTGGAAAATCCAGCTTGCATTTTATGTGAACTTTTTGCAGTTGTACGGAATGAAGCCTAAGGCATGCTGGTGGCAGAGACCTTACCTATCTGCAGTAGGCCAAACATCTGTTGTACAACAGTAGATATGTCAATTCCAGAAATATTCCATACTAGAACAAATGAAGAATTGTATATTCTTTGGAGATTATTTCCCCTTGAACAGTTGAGTACTCAGTAACAACATTATTTTGGGCTGTATGTGAAAAATGAACAAGGTGAATTTTAGATTATATCAGCTTGATTTCAGAGGGTGGAAGGTTTGCTTGTTTTGAGCCTTATACATAGTTGTTTAGGGGGATGGAAAATTGGAACTGAGACATTCTGTGTCATACAGGGTCTCCTAGTTGTCTAATATTTGTATTAAAGAGAATTTTTCCACATTTGTTTTTCTTTAATTGTAAGGTTTACTAGCCTGTTTTTCTTGGCAGAGCTCTTGTGGCATAATGGCTATATGACAACTGACATTTCAGCAGCATGGAGCTAATTAATGTTACACACTTTACCTGTCGAATCTCTGCCATCACATGACAGTGCAAGCACAAGAGCCTTGCCAGAAAAAGCATCAGCAATCTGGTGCTGCAGTCATATTAGAAGCTGTACTCACTAATCCTTTTAATCTGAAAATTAAAAGCACATGGCCTTATCTCATATTGCAATTCTCCAGCCTAGGGAAGGCCTCCCTGTTGAATCTAGCAGTCTACTCTTAACAGGTTATAGTGATAAGCAGAAAATCTTACGTTCACTTGAAATAAGTGGGACTTACTTGAACTTTCAAGTAAATGTTTTAATGAGTTGGAAGTAAATCTGAATAAACTAATAGAGCCCTTGGTCCATAATTTCCATGTTGAAGAGTTTCCTGCTTTTCGTTGAGGTGTTACAGGGTAATTATAGGGTGTGAGTTGGGATTGTGTTTTGGAAAGCTTTTCACATATATTAGATATTCCTCATTTGCTAAACTCTTGAATAATTAAAATGTCACAGGGATGCCATAGGTGGAATAGGCGGCATATAATTATTGGAAATAAATAAACAATAAATCAGGAAATGACTGCAACTTGTGATCTTGTGGCATAATCCAGACTTTAACAAACAAACGATATTCCAGGATAGTGTATTGGCAGTGAAGCTTGTTACTTCATGTGCTGCAAACAGAGGTAGGAATGGAGACACTATTTTCATCACTGATAGAAATGTGACGGTGAGGAATGATCCCTTTCCCCCCCACACACACTTTCTAGTGGGAAGTGCAAATATTTGAACAGTTTGACTGTCTGTATTGCCCTGAATGCCTATAACTATTTTACTTTTCCAGGTTCTCTCTCACAACCTTTACACTGTGTTGTGTATCCCCCATGACCCTGTGGCTCTGGAGGAACATTTCAAAGATGATGATGATGGACCAGTATCAAGTCAGGGATATATGCCATATCTCAACAAGTACATCCTGGACAAGGTGAGTCCCCTTCCTCTTTACTTGTTCCTGCTGCCTGAAGCACCTTTCTCTTAGATCAGGAGTTGGAAAATTCTGCCCCTCCAGATATAATTGGACTACAACCTCATCAGCCTGGATCATTGGCAAGGATGCCTTGGGATGATGTGAGCTGGAATCCAAAATGCTCTGGAGGGTCATAGGTTAAATGCTTCTGACTTTGATGTTGCAGATTAGGAAAGGCATCTTGTTCCAGATGTTTTGACCTAGTTGTAGGCTTTGGTGAGACATAGACTGAGTTCAGATAACATGATGAATCATGGTGGTCTTATAAAAATAGCTGCTTGTTTGTTGGGTTGTCCATATCCAGACTTTTTAGCTGTGCCCTTCATATCCCACTAGCCAAAGTTGCCATAGTATCCAGATTATCTCGTTTCTACAAATTACCTTACCAGGAGCAGAGGTGCTATTTCCACTTGTTAAAAAAAAGCTCTGTAGTTTAGTTTAACCCTGTGGGACTTCAGTGTAAATAAGTGTAATTAGGACTTTTGTCTAGCTTTCAGAAATCTTGCTCTGAATAGCTTTTAACTATTGGCGATATGGTCATATGGACTGATCCTAAGTATATGAAATGCGATTATGGGACATGAGCTACAAAAAGAGCAGGAAAATCTTGATACAATTTATTTAAAAATTAGGAAGTTTCTGATTGGTTTTTCATAGTATCTGGTGGATCATGGGCCATTTCTATTCCAATACATGAATGAACGTGAATCTGTGTTGGTCCTTTCAACACATACCTCAGATGCCCTTCCATTCTTGCTTCCTGCATGTGGAGTCTCGAGGTTGTGATAGAAAGGGAAAGGAAAGCCTGGTAGCAACTCAGGTTTCTGCTGAAATTGCATTTCCTCAAGATATTACATATTGTATTTCATATTTTTGCTGTATAACTACAGATACTCATTTTGTTTGTGTCAATTGCTGTATACAGACATGTAGACATGCTGATCCAGATGTTGCAGAACTCTGTTTTGATCAGATACAGAAGTTCCTTAGCAGTATCAAACTCAGGAGAAACTAGTTCTGCTGGTTTCCAACAGAAACAGCTGTACATGCTACAGACTGGTTGAGAGGAATTCTAACATAACACTTCCATCCTCCTTTTCTTTATCCCTAGAAGAGCTTTTAAACATTTAAACACACACACACATCCAGGCTAGTGACAGTCATTCCACTGTGTGATTTGACTGGACTTGCGGTGACATCGCAGTAAGTTCAACACAGAGGAAAATCTCTCCGTGTTGATTCTGCCTTTCTGGGCAGAATTCTGCCTTTTTGACAGGACTAATCAGGATTTTTTGATAGGCGCATATACATATGCATATTTCTATGACCCTGAGAAAAAAAGAAACCTTTAGTACTTCTGCAAAAGGGGATGGCTTGTTCTTTTTCCCTTGGTCAGCACCTAGAATTTCAATTAAGGGAGGAAAAAAAATCAGGACACTAAGACAAATCAGATCTAGCCCCAAAAAGTTAGAGGAGCTTACCATGAAGGACTGGTCTTTCTATGAAGGGGGCAGATAAAAATCTAATGAAAATATTGGTTAGCTGCCCCCCTTTTGTATGCAAGGATCACTCATGGCTTTGCTTTCCGTGGACAACTTGCCTTTTGTCAATAGCTGTCAAGGGAAAGCAAAGTGAACAGTAAACCTCTTTGCAACCTCCTTCCATGGGATCCTGCTGCACCCTGACAGCATGTCACCCAAGTAAAGCTGCCCATCTCAGATCTGCAGAAGCGTGCAATTCCACACATGTGCAGGTCTGTTTGGATTCTTTAAAAACAAATTGCAAAAAATATTGGGGCACAGAAAAAATAATTAACAAAATAGGTGATGAACCAGTGAGAGCGTCTCGAAGGTACTGGCTGGGCACTTTGAAGGCAAGGGGCAGTGGGGCGGCTGCAGCAAGCAAAAACAGGCTTGTGATTGTAGCAGTGGGAGAAAACAAGGCAACTTTAGCCATGACGTTCCCTGGGGTGCCGGCTGAAGAACCAGGTGAGATGAAGTGGGAGGACAACTCATGGTGATTCCAGATGTCTGTGGGTGCACCGTGAACTGTTTGTGCACAACCTGCAAACCTGCCCAATATTGAGAAAGTGGGACAACCGAAGTGGCGGGGCTGCCAAGCACCTGCTGGGGAATGTGCCCTGCAAATCAGTCAGAATGTCTGAGCAAAAATCTAATGAATTACTAAAAGATGGGGGGGGCGGGTAGTTCTCAGGGGTTTTTTACCTGTTTGGATGTTTGTCAGGAAGACAAGATTTAAAAGAAGGATCACAAAAGAAGGATCCATAATTCCAGGTTCTCATTTTGGTTCTTAGACTTTTAAAGACAGCTGTTTAAAGGGAAATGTTCTATCAAGACGCTTGTAAAAAGTCTATGTCATTTTCAGCATCTTTGCTCAATATTGAGAATATCAGCTTTACTCCTGTTTCATAAAATTAGTCCAGCACTGTTACTTTTTGGGATGGCATCTGTAGGTTGCAATCTAAAGTGCGTTTAGTAGTGAGTAAGTTGCACTGAGTCTGAATGGTATTTAATTCTGAGTAAACATGCTTGAAGGCTATGGGAAGTGCAGGATTCGGATAAAATAGGCTAGGATTAAGGATTTAGTGCTTCTGAATTTCATTAAATGATTTCTACATCCCGTCCTCCCACCCCATCTCCAGCCCCATATTGTTCAGAAGCAAATAGCAAGCTTTGCTTGTTCTGAAACCACCAAGCCAGCAGAATAGCTTGCCTCAAGCAGTATAAGATTGCTCTTTGTTAATTTGGCTGTCTCCTCTAATTAGCAGAAGAGGTGTCTGAACATCCAGCAGGAGTCCTACGTGCAACAAACCAAACAATTTAAACAAGTGAATGAATGCATGCATATATCGTGTTGTTTTAAAATAAATTATTATGGAGAATATAGTTAAAGTCAATCAAATGGCTTCTTTGGCATGCAAGATCATAACTGTGTGTACTCTGTATGCGCCTTTGTACATGCTGAAACATCTAATTTTTAACAACAATCTGTTTTTATTTCAAAATGGAAAAGTTTCTAGTTCTTAGTTTTGAAGAAAGCTTTAACATTGTAGACCAGGTTGGGTGTAGCTCAATAAAAGGGCATAAGGTTCCATTAATACATTCCCTGTTTCAGTTCAATAACAGAGAGAGCCAGTGTCATGTACTGATTAAGAATGCTGGACTAGGGTTCAGGAGTTCTGGGTTCTATCCCCACTTAACAATGGAGATCACTGGGTGATTTTGGGCCAGTCAAGGATTCTCAGTCTAGCTTACTTCAGAGTGTTGTGTGAATAAAATGGAAAATAAAATATTGTAAGCCACCTAGGGTTCCTTGGATGAGGAAGAAAAATGGGATATAAATTCAGTGTAATTATTATTTTATCCATGTTATACTTCCAACAACAACCCTGTGAGGCTGAGAACCCTATTGGTTTCCTGCCTGTTTATTCAGATTTTTATTCAGAGGGTGGAAGAGGTAGTCTAGAGTGTTTTTGTATAGATGCAGCCTTAGGATCTTTCTGTGTAAAGGATGCACTCTTTATAGCACTGTAAAATGTGGTCAGGACCTAATAGGTAACACTGGTTTCACTGCTCTCATTAAATTCAGTCCTTCAGGGGAAATTTACAGAGCTCTTTTGCCAGAATGTGTCACAAGTTCCAGGCATGCTCTATGTAGGGAGCTTTAGACTTTTCCATGTCTTAGATTGTGCCTGAATCTTGAGACATGGGCTGATTTCCCAGCTAGTAGCTAGTTACCTCCTACTCCAAACAGTCTAAATGCCAATGATATGCAGGCAAGCATGTAAATAGTGCCCAGCTACAAATCTGAAGGATGCAGGCTGTTTTATGATGGTTATTGTTTCTCTTACCCAGTTGCTGAACTGGCACACCTGTCTAGTGTGATCCTGGCATGGTCCATTGATTTAGTTTGGCCCAGCTTCCACTGAATGGTCACATCAAGCCCCACTGGAGCATGAAATATCCTCTCCTCCATAATGTTTAACCCTTATCACATCTAGTCACTAATTTTCATTTGTTTGCATTTTTCTTCTATTAAGAGAATGAGAAAACGATTATCTGCTCCTCTATGGTGGTTTGCGAAGTATGTCTGATCAGCTAGAAACACATAATAATACTACCGCCAATACTTTGCCAGGCTGTTTTTGCAGCACTCGTGTAACAATGACTATATTAGAGTGAGGTGAAATAATAATGCAAAGCTGGTGTGATCTTCGCTGTTTTGTTTGCAGGTGGAAGAAGGTACTTTTGTCAAGGAGCGGTTTGATGAACTTTGCTGGACATTGTCAGCAAAGAAGAATTACAAGCCAGACCGGAATGGGAACAGTGTTGTATCCTATGATGATGCTTTCAGGCTCTGGTGTCTCTTTAATTTCCTGTCTGAAGACAAGTACCCTCTTGTTATGGTTCCAGATGAGGTATGGTTGCTTCTAAGTAATTTTCTTTCTTGTTGTCTTGCACTTGTGATAAGGGATGAGTCACACCAGGCGTGTTTTGTATTATAATTCGTTGTTATAATAGCCCTGCGTAACCCAGTTATGTCAGTATGAGAAGTGTCATGGGCAAGCAACTCTAGATTTCTTTACACAGATTTGCTGATGCATATGATGCAGGCTTTTACACAACCTGATAACACTGCTTGAGATTGCACCATGTATAACCAAGTGAACAAGATAGCCTTTTTTTCTACATTTTCCCACATTGCACATCCCCAGGCAAGCAGTCATGAGACTTCGCTTATAGCCCCTGTTTCTCTGACAGTTATGAATCTCCTGCTGTCCTGATTAAGTTAGGTCTGTTTGCAGGGTTGTGAGGCCTGGCTCAAATGTGAAAGAGAAATTAAAGGTGCCAGCACAGTCTTAGTATCTAGGCAAAGTTGAGCGTCAGATACATGGGATGTACAGATGGGGTACATAGAGTATAGGAACTGTGTTGTTTCAACAATGACTGGGAACTGCAGGCTTATGTAGCCTGCCTGGATCCAATCAAAATTCATTCTTCTTGGCCACAACCTTAGCAACTAGCAGGTACAGCACAGACCATATGAAACTTGTTCACCTATGACTTAATAGCCCTATTTCCTGGCCATTGCACTGCTGTGTAAACCATACTTTTGGCTTTTAAAAGCAAGGGGGTTTTGTCCTTAACTGGGTTCACTGCATTGCCAAATTTTGCTGATGCAGAAACAGGGGTTCACTGCTGTTAAGATCTGGGGGCAGTGCAACTGCCCAAGTCCTGAAAGCTACTCACCTCTACTCTGAATTAATAGATGCACAAGTGCAGTGTCACGTACTCACCATTTAAAAAGCAAACAAGGTAAGCTGGAGGGGGAGTGGAACAATGGCCAGCAAATGAGAGTTTTCTCTAGGCTAGTAAAGCAGAAACATGTGCTTCTGAATAATATAGTGCATGGTTAGTGAATTTGGCAGAGGGCAAAGTGCAGAGGGCAGGGAGCCTCAGTTACTGAACATAAGGAGAGGAAATGGTAGGCTCCTTATGGCTGAAAAATTGCTGGTCTGGACATATGGAGGCCTTTAAAGACCTCTATGGTCATTTTGGGGCCTGTCACAATTAGCCAGGTGCCTTTCTTTTATTCTTGGCCCTTTTAATTGTCTTTTTTTGCTATGGGAAGTATAGAAAAGTATAGAAAAGAAATATAATCATAATGAAAAGAAGCAAAAGCAGCATTCTGAACATGCTGATGTATGAATCTGAAACATGCTGACCTTAAGGGTCAGTTACAGTCAAAACATGCTGTTCAGTCAAGCAAAGCTGCTAATAACAGTAATAATCTCTAAATTCTATAAGACATTGTGAAACGAGGGGGGTTTCTATTGTGTATTAGTACAAAAACAAAATCTCAGTCAGGTGGTTTGTAAATCTAAATACTGTAGACGAAATTCCACTCACATAGGCCCCAAGGTGAAAGAAAGCCTGGCTAGAAAGAAGTATATTGCAAGTTCTTGCAGTTTCTGCTCCCCCACCTGGTTTGGTTGACACCTGAATGCATCCTATCCCTTGTACCCACCTGAATGCTTGCTTTGCCTCATCCTCCTGGCACTTGCCATTCAGCAGGAAATGGCACGTGGGCACATAGAGTCATCAGCTATACTTCCTGTTTTCCATCAAGGCATTTCCTGTTCTTCGGGTTTGTTTGTTTTTAAGAGTTATCTTTCTTGCAGAGCCACTGCTGGTAAGAGTTGAGCTGAGCATCTAGTCAACCCTGCTACCAAGTATAAAATGCTGATTCCAGGTTTGAGGGGGCCCTCTGCTGGGGACTCTGTCCCATCCTCCACCTCTGCCCACCATTGCTGGCCATTGCCTTGTTCCCTGCTGTCTGTTGTTGAGCTAGACTGGGCTGTGGAAGGCTTACCAGCTGCTGCCTAGCAAGTAGCAGAAATGGCAAGAGGTAAAAAGCAGCATGCAAAGTGATGGAGCACCCATCAGCAAGTGGATTCCTGAGGCACTGAAAGGAGCACCAGGGGGTGGCTGCCACTACATACTGCAAGCAGTCATTTGAATTCTCCCAGAATTGGCTGTGTCTTGCTCAGGAGGAATGCCACTATATTGTGGGGAGCCTTTGGGTATTGTGAGGGAATTCATATGGCTGCTCGTGGCAATGAGTAATAGCTGCCTGGCACTCCTTTCAGCTCTGGGAAATTGTCAGGAGTGCCCGTAGCCCAGCAGGGACGGGTGTCCAGAGTGATGGGCCCTTATAGGCTGTCTTGACTGTGGCTGACTTGACTGTGCCATGTGCTTGCAACAGGCTTGTTTCTATAGCGCAGCAATAATCCACAAGGGAGGATTATAAAACCATTATTTTGTTCTTAATCTTTTGTTGGCAGCTGCCTTCTGAGCACCCAGCACTGACAGCTTGGGTCTAATTAATTAGAATAAATAAGCCATAAATTTTTGGAGACTGACAGAGCAGTCCTGTGCATGCCTACATACATGTATATCCTGTTAAGTTTAACAGGGCTTATCACTGAGTAGGTGGGAATTGGATTGCAGATTTAAGGTGTTTCTAGGCAGCTTTGCCTATCACAGATGGTAGTGTAGCAGTGTCCCAGGGAAAGGCAAGCTCTGCTTTCCCCTGTCTCATACTCATTGCAATTAAAGCTAGCTGTATGAGCTTCATAGCTTGTATTTCTTGTCAGCTTTGTAGACATTAGCTTGCCAGGCCTGGATTGCTGGGGTCAAAAGCATGGAAAAAGTATTTCTAGTACATTCATTTAGAGCTGCCGTGCTGTTTTATTGCCATGGGCACTTGGCTTAGGTTGCGCAGAGATATGGAGAACTGGTCTAGCTTGCTAGGCAAGAAGAGACTTGGGAGCATTCTCATTGCCAGAACCTAGTCTGGAGCTAAAACATTGACTAGATAAAAGAGCCTACATGCAGCTTCATATTGTAGGCTGCAGTAGCTTGTTTCTGTGGAACCTTGGACCAGACAGCAGGAAAGCTGGATATTGGTCTGCCGCTCTCACTTGGTGTCAAATCACTGAGCTGATACATTCACAGTCCTCCCCCTCTGACCCTCCCTTTTCTCAGCACAACATGCAGGAGGCGCCTTCTTGTGCACAAGTCCAAAAATACTAATACTGGTTCCTGTTAGACGAAATTTTAATTAACTTTACATTATGACTATTTGTGGTTATTGTGAAAGAAGCTAATCAGATATGAATTTAACAAAGTAGATTGTCTCTCCATGGTTGCTTCAATTCCAGCAGTTTTTTCTGGAATAACATCACTCATTCATTCACTTAGTACAGTGAATCCAGACATCACTGGCCCAAAATCGCATTATAGTATTTTCTTTGTTGTCCTTCTGGTTTGGACATTGAGTGATTGAGGGATCACTCCTAAGCACCTTCCTCCAGTGCAAAATGTTGTGATTCCTCTGGTTTACCAAGAACTTGGGAGTGATAAAGCTAGCAAGGAAACGGCTAGAACACAAGTGATATGAAACTCAGTGCAAATAAATCAAACTGAGGTAAGAGCACATTATCATATGGTGGCAACGGTGGTAAAGAACGAACATATTGTTGCCACCATTGCATAACTGAGATGTTACTTGGAGCTTTTCCAAGTGAATCAGGGCTGCCTTCCACTTGCCCCACAGGCAAACATATTTGCAAGACACTTTGTGGAAGGAAATTGCTTCAGTGCACAAACCCTTTGATGCTACAGTTTAGCGTCCCTCCGTATTCTGCTAGAACAACAATAGGCCCACATAATGTACATTATAATGGGCTAACCTGGAGAGTCCACTGGATTATAGAGAACTGAGGTCAGAATGTTTAAATGTGTCCTAAAAACTTCCAAGAGAACTTTTTAAATTGAAAACTAAACCTTTGAGGTAGAAATAAGTATAAGGCCAGAGGAAAGTGTGAGTAGGAGAATAAAGTGTTATATTCCCTGAAATAACATTCTGTCCTAGATATAAGGCGTTGAATCAGGGAGCTTGTACTTGTGCCTGTCTTTTTCTAGAGCCTGGACCAGTGAGCAGGCACTAATATCTGTCTGTCTGTTCCTTTTTGGTGGTAATTGAATATGCAGAGTAGTTTGCAGTGGTGTCTCCATATTGCATTTTCCTTCTGGGTTCTGCAGTTTCTGTATGCACTTCTTTGGAGTGAAATGTCCCATGACCCTTGAACATAAAGGAAATCCATATTATCCCAAGATAACTAAAATAAATATTTTACTTAAAGTTTTTAAATAAATAAAATAAGTAAGTAAGTAAGTTGATTCCTGGAGTTGGGCAATATTTCTGACCCTTTCCTTGATGATTTCCCCCACTTGTTTCAGGTGGAATATCTCTTGAAGAAGATTTGCACAGCGATGAGCATTGAGCTCAACAATGGGGAATTAGATGATTACTTTTCTCAAGAAACCCAGCAGCAGAGTGGCTTGACAGTTTGGCAGTTCCTAGACTTGGTAAATTCAGGTCGGTTCCTGCGGGGGATTGAGCGTGATGCTATCAGTATGGCAATTGAAGAAATCTACCAAGAGATCATCGGCGATGTGCTCAAACAGGTAGAGAGTTCTTGCTTGGTTAGGAACATGGAGAAATATTTTGCTTGAGCTTGCAGAACTATGTAGAATGAACTGGAAATAATTCGTTTAGCTATAGCAAAAAGGAATAAAGAAGTCCAGCAGAGGACTCTTTTTTTTTCTGGAAAAGTCATTATTGACTTCATGAGCACCATATCACTTGTTACCCTTTGGACAACAATAACCTGTGTGACTAATGGATGGAAGCAATAATCTAAACTGTGTGTGGAGGGGGGGAGCAGTCAACTGTGGGAGTCCAGAGAGCCTGTACTGATGACTATCTTTTCTCTTGCAGTGGTAATTGAACCTGTAGAGGAGTTTGTGCTAGTCTTGTATTCATATTGCACTTCCCTTCTAGGTTCTACATTTCAAGAGGTAGTTGTTGTATTCACCAAACTGTGTGGGGTGTTGCATGCTGATCCTTGTTTTGGAATCTCTCACACTTGCTAATCCTGCTGAATCCTGATCTGCAATTTGGACTATCAGGAACTGCAGTAATCTTGTGGCTTATTAAATGTCAAGTGTGCCAATTCAGCATTTTTGATAGTTAGAAATCCCCACCCCCTCCATTTTTGGAAGCACTGTGAGCTTTACAGTATTATGGAGGAAATTCCAATGAAGAAATAGGTCACTCTGCTAAGTCCACTGAACAAAGAGGAAGGAAAACAAGTCAGCATTCTTGGTGCCCACAAGCCACATGAATATGGTTTGACCAATTCATTCAAATCCAGTTGGCAGATCTGGGTGTAGCCGTATGTGCCACATTCACAAGTAAAACCTGGCACACAAAATTCCATGCTAGTGGATGTTTTCTTCACTTGTTCACTTCTGCTTTGGCACTTTAGAGCTGAATTGGCACCACCTGGATGCAATTGTTTATGATGCTAGTGGTCTAGGTAATCTGTTGTTTATAATGCTTACATACTTGTATAAAATATGCATGTATATGCTTAGCTGGTCTGATGATTGTACCTGTGTGTGATTAACTGGTATTCGTAACATGTTGAAAATGCAAGGATGTTGTTTAGGTTTGCCCTGCACTGAACTTGCACCTCTATCCCCACTTAATGCATTGTGGCAAAGCTGCCAGAAGCAACTTAAGTGGTGACATCAGCTGGGGTCACACCCAGCTGCAGAGTAAGGTGGCAAATGGATTGATCCTCTTTGTACTAACAAGCAAGGGATACTACATCTGCAAGGTCCCCCATGTGAAAACAACCAACCTGCCCTCCCACCCCTCAGCTCCTTGCAACTAGTAGGAAACTAGTATGAAAGGGGTGGGACAGAAATCTAATAAATACATGTTCCGGCTTAGTTCCTCTACAGCTGTGCTGATTTTCACTGTGTAGAAATTTTAATATAAAAGAATATTCAAACATGGGGTTCTCCTCCAGCAGTCCAAAGCAGAAATTTCATGGCTTATTCTTTTCTGTGTGTAAAGCAGACCATAGTATATGTGGGTTGCATGGCCACTTGGTCTTTGCAACAGAAGCTTTTCAATGTGCCAAAGTGGGCATTGGTCAAGTCAGCCCGTACTCTAATTTCACCAATTTGATAATGGAATTTGGCCTTTTGAGGATACAAAGCTTTGGTAAGATCTTCATGTTTACAATGTGTCTGTCTTCCTCTCCATGCCCACCTTGGTTGGAAGCAGGGCTACCTGTGGAAGAAAGGTCATTTGAGGAGGAACTGGTCTGAGCGATGGTTTACTCTAAAGCCCAGTGAACTCTCTTACTATGTGAGTGAGGAACGGAAGGAGAAGAAGGGGAGCATTTCTTTGGACAGAAATTCATGTGTGGAGGTAATTGGACTAAACTCGTGTTTGAGATAGCTGAAAGTAAAACACAGACAGTATTCAGAATATTACAGAAGTATGAATGGGCACACTGCACATGAGTCGAAGAAAATGGCAAATACTGATGATAGTTCCCTGACACTAATTTCCAAATTTTATAAAAGTGTCTGTTAACCCAACTAAAAATAAAATACACAATTTAAATTTTTGAACCATCAGTATATTTTATCTTCTTTATTAAATCTAATGCAGATTTTAATGCAGACTCTTTCATGCCATTTGGAAAGAGTTGGTTTTTTCCAAGATCTCAGTGTCTTTTCTGTAAAGCAAGAAGCCCATCTTCTGCCAGACTGGCCAGTTTATTGTTATTTCAAGCTTGGGGGGTGACATCGAAAGGGAAATTTTTTTGGCCTAACTCAGGGGTCGACAACCCACAGCTCTGGAGCTGCACGTGGCTCTTGAGTCCCTCTGCTGCGGCTCCAGAGCCCATCTGCGACCGAGGCTCCGAGTTACAAAATACCAATAGGTGATGATGAGGCATCCACTCAGGAACACTACGCTAGCAGGTTAAGTAAATTGCGACATTGCAGGGAAAGAGTGGAACAAGCTTCCTGCAGGCTTTCATGTTACACAAAATGCTGCTGAAAAGATTCTCTTTGTCCCAATGTAATCTCCTTTCTCTGAATGATAAAAGCTGCCGCTTGGGACCTGTCACAGTTCACAGCACTTGACTGTTTATCTGCTAATCAGTCACTAAACACACCTATACACCCCCCAGGCCAACTATGGATAATTTGAAGAAAAGTTTCTGAAGAAAACCAAACATTTAACCATATGTGGGTAGATTCATTTGCTTTTACTGATGAACTTATGGGGTTTGCTGTTTAATGCATGCAGCCCTTTAGCACTGACTCTTCAGGAAGCTGTTCTCCTATTCAAAATATATGAAAGGAGTCCTACTAGTTTATAATGTAAGATTAAAAATAACAGTTTTTAGTGACTGAACAAGAGCTTCAGCTAAGTCATAATGAAGATATACATAGCATTAAGGTAAAAATGATATATGCAGTGTTATCTTCATTTTAGATGTCAAAAGAGTTTTGTGGCTCCCTGTGTTTTCTTTTGTGTGGGAAACGGGTCCAAATGGCTCTTTGAGTGTTAAAGGTTGCCAACCCCTGGCCTAGCTAAAGGCCATGTATTTTGTACCTTCCACTGTGACTTTCAGCTAAGGGAAAGGTTTCAAGTTTTTTTCCTTTCTGATTCTAAGATTTTGCCTGACAAAGATGGGAAACGGTGTATGTTCTGCGTGAAAACTGCTTCGCGGACATATGAAATGAGTGCATCAGACACCAAGCAAAGGCAGGAGTGGACACTTGGTGAGTACTGTGGTGATTCTGTGTTGCTGCTGCTGCTTGAAAGCCTTTTTTTTCCTGCTGCACTGGAGATTTTCTGAAATTAAGAGGTTACAAATACAGTCCTATTTCAGTTTGGACTAAAAACACCCAACAACACCCAGCATGCCCCAACCAACATGGATAGCTAGGGCATGCTAGGAGCTGTCAGACTTTTATTTGTCTAAACATCAACAGGGGTGCATCTTAAATTGTAAGTAGCAAGAGCAGCAGCTGAAGCCAATTTACTTAGTTTAGGGTTTATAATATATTGTAAGCCATCCAGAGATGACAGTAATGGATGGCCTATAAATTTCCTAAATAAATTAATAAGCAAGCAAGCTTCTCACAATTTAATCTGTGGACTGCCTTCATTCATTGGTCAGCTATCTCCCTACATGCCTTAAGTGACCTAACAAGCAACTTAGGTTGCCAGCATTTTTCTAAAAAGGCAACTCTAGCCACCTGGATTCCCAATCTTTGGGAACAGGTGGGATATAAATAAATATAATAACAATAATAAAGCATCCATGATTCTGGATTTAATGCTAGTCTTGTAACTATCTGGAATTTGGATTATATTTCTTGGATGATAATAATGATGATTGTCAGAAAAAGGAGTCTGGATAAGATGAAACCAATGGTTCCTTTCCTCTGTGTGCTTGCATATCGGCATGTATGTCATTTTTGCATACTACAAAGGTTTTATCATCCAGTTAGGAAGGCGACCATGTATGTATTAATCTATTCACATTTCTGTACAGCTCAGTGGCTCTATTTTGGGAAGTTTTGGTATATAGTGCCAACATAAAAAAGCAGCAGTATGATATTTCTGGGCAGCTTAGGGGGCCAAAATGCTACTTTCTTGCTTGTTTATTTACATAAAACATTTTAAGGTTGACTTTCATCAAAATCAGTTCATGGGCATTTTACATTTTAAAAAAAATATATAGTCACAGTAAAAAGCAGTTAAATATACTGCTGGATTAAAGAACATTACAGCAAGCTAAAAGGATTGCTTCAGCTAATGAACAGTCTAGTGTTTATACCAGGTGAGCCTTCTTGGAAAGGATATTCCATAGCAGGGGCTCCACAGCTCCATTCTGAAGATGGTGGCACTTGAGCAAGGTGGTACTTTGGTGATGACATGAGGCAGAGGTGTAGCACATCAGGACCAGGGGGGTCATATCTGGTCCTTTGGGATTTGCCATGTGGCCTGGACCCACCCTTCCCCCACTCTTCAGTCATTTGGTTTCCTAGTTTCTCAGCTTGTGTGCAGGTTTTTCCCATGCTGAAAGGTTGAAGTACCTCTCTTAAGGCTTAGTTCCTGGCACAAAGAGGTTTCAGCGAACATAAGCTTTAGTTCTGGGCTATGCCCCTTTCACTTTGATCTCACACACCGTTGGAATGTGGCCAGGGACTTCGCCAAAATGGAATTCGGCTCTTAGAACATACCTGTCCTAAACAAATGGACAGGTTATAATAGAAAAAGGTGCTGCTTAAAGTCTTTGATACAGGAAGTAAAATTAGCATTCCCTGCTGATGTCTTTGGATGCGACTTGGACGCGACTTCGCAACTAGCAACTTTGCTCCTCCCTTGCTCTCCAGCCATCCAGATGGCAATCCGACTCAATGCAGAGGGCAAGAAGTCCCTGCACAAGGATTTAAAGCAGAAGCGGCGAGAACAGCGGGAGCAGCGAGAGCGCAAGAAGGCTGCTAAAGAAGAAGAGATGCAACGCCTGAAACAGTTGCAGGAAGAGAAGGAGCGCAAGCTGCAAGAACTGGAGTTGCTGAAGGAGGCTCAGCGGCAAGCTGAGTTTTTGCTCCAGGAAGAAGAGCAGCGGCGCCAGCAACAGCATGAGGAAATGCAGAGGACGCTGGAGATACAGCTAAGGGAGGCTGAACAGGTGAGTGCAAGCTAGGCAAATACAGGGATCCTCTCAGATCCATCACTTGCTTAAAGGTATGGCAAATGAGCCATCAATGGAATAATATCTCATGGGTGTCCCCCCCTCATTCCCTGTGCATTTCCTGTTCTCCATTCCTGAATGTCATGTCCAGCCTTGTCTTGAGGAGATGTCCTCCTTTTCTTAGCCAAAGGTCTGGTACTTCCTTAAAATGGGAGCCACTTTGGCCAAAAAAAGGTCTGAGAGCCTAATTTACTTGCTACAAGAATAATTAGCACAGAATAATCCAATGCAAAATTTACTGTAACTAGATGAGCAAAAATGTGGGGAAAGCTGATTTAATGTTTTTTCACATGCATGAATCTATACATACACACACATTACAAACTACAAATATTATTCCTAATGGGCATTTGTACAATTTGCTTGTATACCCCTTAATTAAAATACAACTCCAGGAATTATATCCTGTTAAGAGGGAATGTTGTCCATGTGGTTGCGATGGGTCAGATACGACTTTGCGACTCAAATCAACAAGAAGGCCTGTGCTGGATCAGATCAAAAGCTTCTCTAGTCTAGCATTCTGTTCCCACAGTGGTGAACCAAATGCCTAACATCCCTACCTCCACACTCTGGGTATCCTTTAATAAAACACCCAAACAAGTATGCTTTTCCAAAACATCTACTTTATTAGCTGATAACCATTAAAACAAACTAATTTACAAAACCAGCCTTCTCTAAAACTCAGACTAGTCTAGGATTTGCCAAATGCACAGAGACGGAAACACTGCAATAATTTTTAAAAAGGAACATGAATATTTTAGTTGTCTTCTTACTGTGCCCAGCTAAGGCTAATACAGTGGTACCTTGACTCACGAACTTAATCTGTTCCAGGACTCTGGTTGTGACCCAAATTGGTCATGAGCCAAGTTAAATTTCCCCATAAGGTTCAATGCAAATAACGTTAATCCGTTCTGTAACTATTTTTTTAATCAGAAAAAAGTGAAGCAAAGTGACAACAACAAAGATCGTGGCCATCTCCCTCCCCACCCCGAGCACAGGCACGGCCATCTCCTTGTGTCCATCATCCTTGCACATGCCCGTCATCCTGTTGCGCTCGGGTGAGGGGAGATGGGTGCAAATGCAGGTGCGCTGGGAGGGGAGAGATGGGCACAAACAAGGGCACGCTGGGGGGAGAGATGGGTGCGAAAGCAGGCGCACTGTGGGGGAGAGACAGGCGCAATCACGGTGGGGAGGGGAGATGACCGAGATCACAGTTGCGCTCGTGCAGGAAAGACAGGCGCCATCTCGGCCATCTCCCCCTGGCCCCCAGCACGATTGCGGTCATCTCCCCACTTGGGGGAGGGGGGAGATGGCCATGATTGCAGCCGCCACCCAATGTAGAGTTCATGACCTAAGTCAATTTTTTAATGAATATTTTGTTCACGACCCAATTTGGTCATTAACTGAAGCCTTTGTGAGCCGAAGTACCACTGTATGTTAAGATATATTCATTTTAAAAATGAACAAGACTGCAACTGCAAAGGATGTACATTTACCCCAAAGTTCACTAAAGCGAGCCCCACCTAGTTTCCCCCAAATAAAACAAGGGCAAAACACAGCATCAGAGCCTTTGAAGGCTCGGTGCCCCCTTACACCCTTGTGGTGCCCCTTTCCCCCAAATAAGCATGCACTTTCTCTCCTCTCCTCTTCCATACAAGTCCAAGTAAGCCACTAGGGCCGCAGTCATGTGCACACATACTTGGAAATAAGGTTCAGTGAATCCAGTTACTTCTGAGTGGACGTGCATCAAGTTGTGCTGCACTCATCTTTTAAGGAAGAGGAATGGAATTGAGTCTGGGAAGATGCTAATCTCAGGTCTCTTGCACCACAGCCAGGATGTGAAGTAGGGGGAGCAATTTTCACCCAGCATGGCAGTATTGGGTATTGAGACAGGGGAGGGGTACACTCACCTGTACCTCATCTCCCTCAGCAAGTTCCCCTCTGGAACAGTGGACCTCAGTGAATGATGCGACTAGAAACCCCTCTGTCCATTTGAGTAATGAGAGTGGGGCAGCTGCACTCGGAGCTATTGCAAGGTGCCAATGACCCAAGGGCCAGTGAAAACCATAGCACCATATTTTCACTGATACGACTCAAATGTGTCATGGCAAAGTGGCTGGAAAACCTGTGGGGGCTGCAGTGGGAAGCCGCCTGGTGTTGTCCTGCCAGACAGCAGTGGAAAAATGCTGTTCTTGCTTTAAGTAGCATTCTGTGTAATCACCCCCAAGTCAGAAGTGACAGCCATATTTTAGGGCTCATACCAGCACAGTAACATTTTTGGTAGCATCTTTTGTATTTCACTAAGGCAAACAAGGAGAAGTCTCCTATGGGTGAAGAATGTAGGGCCTCATCTATACATTCCAATAATTTTTGTTTGAAAAATTCCAGATCTGAAAAATGTATTCTGTTTGTCCTTATATGTTTTCCTCTGTGCACATGTTGATCAGTTACCCTATACTGAGAACAGCCATACATTTGTTAACAGCTCAGGCAAAAATGCCTTGCCATAGTCTACCAACAGACTGTGTTTAGGTAGCTGATTCTGCCCCCTGTTGTCGTATTGTACATACTATCTGTCTTTTCTTTATACTCTGCAGGCCCGTGCTTCCATGCAGGCGGAGATGGTTCTGAAGGAGGCAGAGGCTGAACGTCAGCGCAAGCGCATCACAGAACTGGAGAACATGCAGCAACGACTCCAAGATGCACTGCAGCAGGAAATTAAAGCTCGTCAAGATGAGGAGGCTGTGAGATATGCACAGGCCAGGTATGGCTGGGGAATACCCAACTGCCTTCTGTTGAGTAGCTCTGAAAAGAATGTCATATAGCAACTTTTACTGGAGGAAAAAAGCCTTGGCCAGGGTAACTGTGAGCTTCACATAGACATTGGACTTTCAGCTTCCCTGCTGAAAGAGCCACTAGTAATTCTAGGGCCAAGAAGGTTTGTGTAGAGCTCTTCATGCATCTTTCTGCTGATTATGTTGTGTAGCTATGACTTTCCAGAGTCCTATTGCATTCATTCATCCATCCATGCATCCATCCATGCATTCAGTTTCTATACTGTGCAATAGTGGAAGCTCTGTCCTACATATCCTTTGACTGCCATTTATGAGTCAGATTTGTCCAGGAGTACCTGAGATATCTTCATTTGTTTTCTTTGCACTTCATGCTGCTTTTATTGAGAAAACCTGGTACTGAAATAGTTAATCTGTGCCAGAGTCAGTGCAATGTCCTCTGCTTCATCTCCTACTTGATGTCCTGGCCTTTTTATAATCATTAGCATCATTGTTGTTATAAATTCCATGTATTTTACATATTAGAAGAGGGCAGATTTACACAGACAGGGTCCTACAGTCTGCAGAGGAAGGGGAAAGGAAAGGGAGGCAAGCATGAACAGATATATATTTCTGTTACGCTCAGTTAGGTTTGGCTGCAGTGGGATACAGAGAGAGCTGTCAGGTTATGCAGCAGCCGATAAATTTATAAAGGAAAGAAGATAAGTAGGTAGGTAGGTAGGTAGGTATTTGGGGATTGGGTCAAAGTCTTCATAGAAAAGATGCATTTTGAGGAGGGATTTAAAGAGTAAAAGGGAGTTGCCAGTGGACATGCGTTCTGGGAGATGCTCTAAAACATAAGGAGCAGTAAGAATGGATCCATTTGAGGGAGTCAGGATAACTTTAGACTGATAAAGCCAGTGACTTGGAAGAGAAAAGGTCATAGATGTATCTGGATATGAGAACAGAGAGAGAAGGTGGGGTAGGACCATAGAGGACTCTGAAAGAAACACTTAGCAATTTGGGCTGGGTTTAGGAACTGACAGAGAGGCAGTGGTAAGAGTTGAAAGAAGAGCATGGTCAGAGTGCTGAAAGTGATACGTAATTTTAATGACACAGTTCTGGGTAGAGGTCAAGGAAACCAAGGTGAAACCGTGGAAGACCAGAAAGGAGGAAACTGCACTATTCAAAGCAAGAGATGATCATTGTATGACCCAGAGAACAGGACTGAGAGGAAAAGCCATATTTTGCAAGAGAGAAGTTGAAGGCTTGGAAATTGACTCAATATTGGGAGCAAAGGGGAAAGAATAGTCAAAAATAAAGCAAAACATTTGCAGAGATGTAAGTTAGGACAAAATGTCTCCTAGCAAAGTCTTTCTTCACCCCTACTGTCTTTTAAGCTAGGGTTCCTGAAATGGAAGGAATTATCCATGCTTTTTGCAGAGTTTTGCTTATTTTTTTGACTCTGCAATAACATAGACTGCTTCTGTCTACTGGAACTGACCAGTGGTAGAGACAACAAATAGGCCAAATACAATTGACTCTTATTTACTCTTACTTAGATTGCTGGCTGAGGAGGAAGAAAAGTTGAAACAGCTCATGAAGCTGAAAGAAGAGCAAGAGGAGTACATTATCAAGGCTCAGCATGAAAAGCTTGCCCTCAAGCAAGAGATGGAAAACAAGAGCAAGTTTCTGGAAGAGGCCCAACAGCAGTTAGAAGTGGTGAGATTTAACCGAGAGAGGATGGACCAAGATGTTATGGTGAGTAGAGAAAGGTCTCTGCTTTTCTTTCTCTCTTGGGTCATGCTGGTTGGTTGGTTTTCAATTCCACCTTCTAATATACTGCTCAATCATGATCAATGATTAAGGGTACGCTTAAACCATTTAATATGTATTACATCTGCATGGTGAAAAAGTAAAAGTGGACCTGACTATGCCAGTGAGATGCTTATATGGATTTAGAAATTTATTTTTAAATACCTTGTATTAGTAGCGGGCTTTGCAAAAAGAAAATGCTTTCCTTGTGTCCAGAATACCAGCTGGTGAGAGTTAAAGCAAGTCTCTGGAGAGAAGAAATATAATACAGTTTAATGAAATAGCCTTGAGTTGTACCTCAGCCACTTGATTGCACAGAGTAGGCCTTGAAGAGAAGAGCAATGTAAAATTGCTTACCACTTACGTCACATTCCTTCTTAAAAGCAGACACTATCTTTAAGCTCATGATTTTTGCTTAATATTGAACAAAGTGAGACTATCAAAATACTCTTTAGGTTTATGTTAACATGGGTAATGCTAGAAACAGAGTTGTACCTATTTAGGACTTATTATATCAGGTAAGACAAGATGAGGGTTTCAGCTGAACATCTCTTTTTATTTAAGCATACATAATATTGATAAATCAGTCAAGAATTATTGTTGAAAAGGGCCGAAAAGCCAGGGCCATCTGGTGTAACTTTCAATGTAAAAACAGTACCACCTTCTCCTCCTACATGCATACATAATCTGTAGTCATTTACTCTTGGATCAACCTACTCAGACCAGAGCAAAGAAGCCTGCAGTTTAGAATAGGTACACTGGCAAAAGATAACTCTATAGATACAGCTCCAGTGTGAGAATTGTATTGTAATGTCTGTGGTGACATTATAAGCAGACACATATCTTGGACTGAATGCTGCTTCATTGGCACTTTTAAAAGCATTGCTGTTACATGAAATTACTGAGGCTGCTTGTTCTTGATTTGTAGGGATCAGAAGTGTCAATAGAAAATTTTGGTTCTCACTTTCAACCAAATGGAAGCACTCCATGAGAAACCAGCATTTTCTTTATTTCTTAAATGAACTGATCCCTAATAGCTAACACTTCTCAGGACATGGTACAATAAATACACAGATAACATCCAAAATCCATATAAAAATAGAAACAACATAATAAAGCAATCAAAACCAACAGGCAATTCAAACAGCAGATGCTAAAAAAGAACTAAAAATATTCACAGTAAAACCACTTGTAAACACAGCATAGCAAGTGAAATGTAAAAGAGGTAAAAGGCATGAGCAATTCAAAAGTTCTTTGACTAGTGCCAAGAAAATAACAAAGCAGATGCCAGGCCAGACCTCTTTAGGGTAGATATTGCATAATGGGATGGAGAGTGCTATTCCCGAAAAGGCCTACTCCTGAATAGCCACTGACTTTAATTGAAGATGAGAAGGCACTCAGAACAGGATGATGGTCATCTGAGGATGATCTCCATGCTCAGGTAGAAATACATGAGAAGAAATGTTCTTTCGGATACTGTGGCCTCAAGCTATGAAAAGCTTTCTAGGTTAATGCCAGCACGTTGAAGTGAAGATGGTGCAATACTGATGTCATACGATCATAATTCTCAGTTACAATGGTACCCCAGGTGACATATTTTGTTTTATTTGAAGTTTTCAGATTATCTTCCAGGTCAGTCCTTTCAGAATTATCAGTTCTTCTTCTAAAAGATAAGGTGCAGTCCAATCTTGCAGTCCAAGATAAAGTCCAACAAACAAAACACTTTATTGCCATTATCATCCTTTCACAACCTTTTGCCTTTTGAGAAAAATTCTGGCGTGAGTGGCTGTTCTTGAAGCTTCAAGTGCCCTTGGATACAGTTTGATTCCTGGAGAACAGTCAGTGACTCTTCAAGAACTGCACCTAAAGATAGTTCACTAGGGAAATCATACATGTCAAACCCACAAGGTCACCAAGTGGCTTTCAAGTCAGGGCTGTGACCTGATTAAATAAATCTTAGGTTATTAAGAGTGTTTTTCTCAGTTGATTCATGCAATTTAGTAAATTTGCCTCTGAGTAAAAACAGTACCTCTGAAAAAAACAAGTTTTGTTTGTAGATGATGCCCCAATGATGGGTCATTGGGGCTTCTTCTTGGAAGTGGCACTGTTTTCTCTGTATGATGCTTGCTATCTGCATTATTTTTAATCAGCACATGATTTACAGATATTTTACAAACTGTTAAGCAGGGTAAGTAGGGACACCATTTTAGTCAAATGTAGTTAGACTTGCTAGTCAAATTGATCAGAGCATTCCTGCTGTTGATCTGTATTGATTTAAATATGCTACCCTGCTGATCTCAGTTCAGTAGGCATGCTAAGAATGCCTTCAGGTCTTCACGGTTCCCTGTTTGCTTAATATATTTAAAGTTTTTGGAACACATGTTAAGTAGTATTGTTATCCAGTTGTATAATACTGCTTTCTGTTGTAGCTGGCTCAGCGGAAGCTCGAACAAGCCAGCACCAATGTAAAGCATTGGAATGTACAGATGAATCGACTGATGCACCCCATTGCACCAGGAGGTATGTATCTGGACCAAGAATTCACATCAGGAGCAGAAATGCAGCTCAAACTGTTACAGTTGCAACCAGCTGCCTTGTTGTTCCAAACTTGCAAGCTAGGACAACCTCATCTGTTAGCTATTTGCCTACTAGGGAATAATCTGGTGTTGTAGAAACTGATAGGGTGATTCTTTTTGATCTCCCTTGTAAGAGTGCCCAAAGATCTGATCCCCCAGGGTTTATGAGCACTATTGTTTTAAAGTTCCTCTTTCTCTAATACAAACGCAAATGTCCTTCTTGAATTCCAGTGATCTGGAACATTCCAACTTGTTTGTTTGTACCCTCTGCTCTTATTCACCACCACTTTGGAATAGGTTCCACTTCGGAGGAAGCTGCATTTAATTTGTGTAGTGCACACATAGCACCCTCACTAAATTTAGAAGGTGGTTTCTTACAGTAGCAGTGATGTGTATGCATGGCAATACTTCTGCTTTTTTAGTTTAGTTTTTTTAAACAGCTAAACTAAACTTCCCTGTATTTTTGTTTATGTTTCTAGAGAAGCGTACCATGACAAGTGGAGGGTTTACTGGCTTCAGTCCTGCACTCCTATCTAGGAGAGATTCCTCCCTCAAACTAAAGCAGAATCTGGAAAAGAAGAAATCTGATGCTGTGAAGAATGAAAGCAAAGAAAACATAAATGGAGAGACTGAGACCCAGATGCAGATGCCTGATAATAAGCCCAGCTCAGAAGCCCTCTGATTAGCCACAGAAGTGAGGCAATTGACTTGTTGGAAATTTAGGGACCAGGAATTAAACATCCTTATAGTTTGACCATCTGTAGATATAGATACAGATACATATGAATACCAGACAGATATAAAGTTTGTATAGGGAAGTGTGCTGTTGATTCTACTCTGTTAAGTCACAGGCTATGCTGACAGTTTGCTTTAGTGCACTAGAGCTGCACCCAATGTATATAATATGGACAAATGGAAGTTTCTTTACCCTAAGTATAGAAGGATGGTTCTTTGGGCTTCCCTATGGTATGCTATATTTGCTCTCAGCAAATGGAGAAATGTCCTAGTCATACTGTATCATATTGCGCTATTATGAGCTTGAGGAATTCCTAACAGCTGTTGTTGCTGGTGGTAACCACTGCTGCAGTGTTCCAAGAAATCTGTCATTCTCTTAAACACATTTTTAAATGGTAAAATATGCATTTCACACTCTTTTGGTTTGGAATGTTCTATAAAAAGGTTGGGTCCTGCTCCTTTTGGGAAATATTCATGTTTTGCTTAAGCTTCTTATATTACTTAGCAGCTGAATCTACTGAATAGATACCAGCATCGTTTGTGTACTGAATTCAGAAAAGATTGTGTTATGAACACTCTTGAGACCAATCAGCAGTCTAAAAGAAGAGACTGCAGAAACTTGAAGGCTGATTCACTAGTTTGCTGTGTAAGATATAATAGGCATTTAAGTTGCAGTGCGCTCTGTGTGTGTCCGCGCGTGTGCATCCATGCCTCATTTGTTTACAAACTTGCATTTCTTAAGGAGCTAAAAAGGAATGATTTATAGTGGTGATCGGAAGAAACAATATAACTCGGAAGAGACTGTGAGCACTGTCAGCTGTGACTGGGTTGCAGGAGTACAGAGGGTTTCCTACAAAAGCAGCTGCAAATAGAATTTCCTGGTGGGTCCCTGTGGGAGGGAGGGAGAGTTGCTAGGAGAATGAGGGGAAGAAAGGTGTCAAAGAAGGCAGGGAGAATGAAGGGAGGAAAAAAATGGTTCCATGTTAAAGTACAAAATTAAAGCCCTTTATTCATTAAATCATATCCTTGCTATTTAACTAGCAAAGACCTGGAGAGGAGAGGACCGGACTGCAATGTAATATAGGGGTCCTAACTGAGGTGGAACATGAGATAATTCAGAGGCTTATGTGCAGTCTTTGCCATGAATGAGGCATGCTGGAAGTGATGGTGCCAGGTACTCTAGCTGGAAAACAGCCTTCTAGATAAAATGCTGATAAGGGGAGGGAAGGACACTGGGACACTAACAGGTTAGACCTTGGCCCCAGCCTCCCTCCCCCACCCCCACCCCCCTGCACTGGCAGGCCCCCTTTTCCACCTTCGAGGCCCAACTATGGCCTTAGAAGTGGGAAGCTAGTGCAGTTGTTTCTGCATGAACTGTGAAGTAGGTGGGGTGGGGGCTTGGCCTTCAGTATCCCAGCTCTGAATTTGCAGGATCTTGGAGCTAGGGCTGTGTACTCCTAGACAGTATCACCAGGCCATATAGTTTTCCCTCTGAACTGTAAACTTAAGCATTATTGCTTAGAAATAAATTCCACTGTATCCATTAGAATATGCTGTTTGCTTAAATGTGCCTACATCTACAGCATAGGAGTGTTTCCAGGTGAGAAGTTTTTGTGGGGGCTGCAGTCACCCTGCCTCATTCATGGAACAAAGGTACAGATGTCATCATTTTTAACTCTTATGTTTTACTACCGTTTCTTTTTTTTCCCACCACCATCACTGCCACCTTCAAATCTGTTATGGAGAGATAGGCAGAGTAACTACACAATCCGCCTTTTGATTTGTAGCTTGAGGAGCTGCCTGTCTGGAAGCATACTTGGAGACTGGAGCAACAATGTGTGTTCAGAGAGCTGAGGGTAGTACTAGAGAGCCATTGTTGCCTGTGGCATTTGTACTCATTCTTTTTGTCCCAATATTTTTATTATTAAACAGGTTTGGAGAACCGTAAAAAGCCTGCAAAACCTGTTTGAGGGCCCTGGCTCAGTGGTAGAGCATCTGCTTTGCATACAGAAAGTCTCAGATTCAGTCTGAAACCCTGGAGAGCCACTGCCTGTCAGTGTCGACAGTACTGGGCTAGATGGCCTGACACATAGAAGCATAGGAAGACAACATATATTCCTGTGACCAGGGATAACAGTGTATGCACACATCATTAGCAGTGATGGCTGTGACATACCACTCTCAGTTTTCTTTTAAAAGGTTGTGAGTCTCCGCTCCCAATAAGACTAAACATTTCTAAAATTAAGGAAACATAACTCCCCAATAATCATGAGAAACATACTTAAGTTTTGTTTGCACAGATGGTATGACTGTTTCTGAACTGTATCATTTCAGACTGCAGGTAAAGCTTTTGTGGCTGAAATGCTGCTCCTTAAAAAACCTCCATATAAATAGAAAATTAAGTGTTGGGGGAAGTGTTTTACCCAGGTGTTCTCTGTTACATACTAGCTTTATGTAATCCTTTTTTAAAGCCATCCAAATTGGTGGCCATCATTGCATCTTGTGGTAACCAGGGCTTTGGAGTTGGTGCATAAAAACTTTGACTCCAATTTTGACTCCTTTATATATCAATATAGGAAATAAATTTAGTACTTATGCATTTCCTATAGTGATTGAAAGCACTCAACCTACAAAGCATTTCATCACTGCCAACATGAATCATCAGGCTACTTTTCTAACCCTAACCTGTTAAAGTTTGGGTCTAGCCCATTGTGGCTTTTAAAATGTCACTGAACGTTTGTGATTTCTTTAATAAGTAAACATTAAATTTTAAACAAAAGAGAAGCCTTAGAAAATGAGGATATTGGTCAATAAGGGTTTTATTTGTTATAAAAATTCACAGCTTCTAACACATTTGGATGAAAATGCTGCAAGCATCTTTTAAAAATTTGATTCTTTTGTAGGTGCATTTTTTTCAGAACCACAAAAACTACTAATTTTTGCAACACATTTTTTCACAATTGGTATCTTCTATAATACATTGGCACACATAATATTTCCCACCTGTTGCTATTGTAACATGTTTGAAAACAGCCGACTTCGTTGACACTTTTTACCATTGTGAATTTTTTCATGGGGTGCTGCTTTCACTAATGTATGGAATTAAAATACACCCTGAAAATATAACTGGAAAAATAGGTAACTCAAATTATTATCTGTGAAATAGGAAAGTTTAATGTGTTATTTATATTACAATTTAAATGTATTAGGAATTGAAGTTGGTACATTTTTACCAACTCCTATCTTGACCCAGTAACCCAAGAATTGCTTCCAACTCTAACTTCACAGCTCTGGTAGTAACACATTCCATGGTTTAATTATATACTGTGTGGTGAAGTACTTCCCACCATTCAGCTTCAGGGTATGATCCCAGCTTCTGGTATTATGAAAGTGAGAGAAACAATTTTGTACCTCTCAATCATGTCTACCCTTACTGACCCTTTTTTCTAAGCTAAACAATGCCAGATATTGTAAACTTTCCTCAGAAAGGAATTGGTTCAACCTCTTGATCATTTTGGTTGCCTGTTTCTGCATTGATTCCAACTCTATAGTATCCTATTTGAGGGCTAATGTAACTTTATTTCTGTACCATAGAATTGTATAAAGCTCAACACAGCAAAGCTCAATTCATCCCCGAAAAGCCCCTTGATGATGGAGCCAGGATAGAGAGCTAAGGCCTCAACTTTTATCTCACAAAGACCCAAGGTTTACTGCCACATACGCCTTTTTCAGCTGTGCAACATTTTTTGTTTTTAACTGGTTACACTAAGTGAATCTGTTTCCTTTCTCTTTTGCGATGCTGGTATCAAAAAAGAAACTTTGCATTTGCATTTGCACTAGCCACAGCTTTTTGCTGAGTGCCTCCTCTTTGAACTACCAAATACCTACTTGCTGTATCAAGATCAAGCTTATCAAGATCATCAGCAGAAGTGTGTTTTGGCCACATCCATCCTTTGTGTAGCAGTCCCCAAAGTCTGATAACTCTTCAGTGTGATCCCTACTTTACAGAGAATTTAGGGGTGAGGTGTGTGTGTACACTGCTATTTGCTGTGTTTTCTGTTTTGTTTTAAGCTGTCTGGTTAGATGTATGATTCAGAACTTGAGAATGAAGCAACATACAGACCTCCAAATAAAATTGTTTAAAATGATAGATCCACAAAGATAAAGGAAAGCTCTTGGTGAAGGAAGTATCATGACATCAAATGGTGCAGATATGCAAATAATCACAGAATGAATGTGGAAAGCTGAATTGCTAGCTTTTTGCGGAATGATTTATTGTAACATGAGTTCTTGGCAACAACTATTTCAGTTTGTATAAAAGTAGATGGAGAAGCTGGATTTGGCTACTGTTTGACAGAATAGGCAGCTAACTTATCAGTATTCAGGCTAAATATAAAAACCTTGTGATATAAGCTTTTTGAAATTGGTTCCCTTTTAATTGGCAGATTCCAATCCTTGCTTTGTATACATGCATGCTTATTATCAGTATATGCATATTTTACATTCTAAACAAAGGTTTTAAGGAGTGTGTGAACACCTATCAGCTCATTGGGAAGAACTCTATGTATCTGGAGTAGGTTCCATTATACAAAACTGAATGCCCCAACGGTTTTTGTTTATATGTTATAAATTATCTGTCCCTCAGGAACAATGCAAGGAGTGGCTGCTGATTAATCTGTTCCTTTTTGGATCCCTTTCCTGCAAAGAAGATAGCTGCAAACGGAGTCCAAGAGAGGGAGGGCAAAGAAGCCATTTTTTTCAACATATGCTTTGTTGTCCACATGCTTATAGTCTGCAAGGGCTCTGTCTTGCCTTGGTGGCTGAGATCCGTGCCTATTTCCTAGCTTCCCAGTAATGCTCAAAATGATAGTAGGCATCACTGTCAATCAAGACAAGAAAGATTATTGATGGCAGAAGCCAAATTACAGAAGGCTGTTACATCAGATACTACCCGTAGAAACAATAAGGTTGGGTAGAGGTCAAGTGTTCCTCCTCCTCAACTTTCACACATCTCAGCCTCTGAGAAACCTCCCTCACAAACGGGATTGATAGACTTATTATTGAAAAAAATTGTATCCTGTCTTTTTATTCCAGCTTTCAGGATGACTAGCAAGGTCAGAAAGAACACATTAAATGAAATCCAACAAATAGTAGCAACAGTAAAAATAAAAAATATATAACAGCATTGCCATATCAGTGAAATTGGAGTCTATTTACATTTTTTAAAGACTGGGTAAAAAAGGTCTGCCTAGAGTCAAAAGGAAATGAATGGGCACTTGGTGACAGCCAAGAAGTCACTCTTACTAGTTGTCCCCACCTAAATTCAGGAGATGCAGCATCTGGCTAAGAATATTATGCCAGGCTGCCTGATGGGGTCAGCAGCTACATCTAAGTTTGCTTGTGCATTCTGTTAAATG